ATCTTCCACTTAATGCAGAGTTTTTCTCCCAGTTGATGTCAGGGTAGTTAAAGTCCCCCATTACTATTGTGTAATCCCTTTATGGATTACTGCCTTGTCGTGGCGAAGGGGCTTGCATAACTCAATGAATCTATAAGCTATGCCGTGCAGGGCCACCCAAGACGGACAGGTTATAGCAGAGAGTTCTGACAAAATGTGATCCACTGGAGAAGGAAATGGCAAACCACTCCAGTATCTTTGCCATGAAAACCCCATGGACAGTACTAAAAGGAAAAAAGATATGACGTTGGAAGATGAGCCCCTCAGGTCGGAAGGTGTCCAATATGCTACTGGGGAAGAGCAGAGGGCTAGTACTAGTAGCGCCAGAAAGAATGAAGCGACTGGGCCAAAGCCGAAAGGACGCTCAGCTGTGGATATATCTGGTGGTGAAAGGAAAATCCGATGCTGTAAAGATTTTTTCTCCATAGGAACCTGGAATGTAAGATCCATGAATCAAGGCAAGCTAGACGTAGTCAAAAAAGAGATGACAAGACTGAACATCGACATCTTAGGAATCAGCGAACTAAAATGGACAGGAATGGGTGAATTTAACTCAGATGACCATCAGGTATACTACTGTGGGCAAGAATCCTTCAGAAGAAATGGAGTAGCCTTCCTAGTCAATAAAAGAATAGGAAAAGCAATACTGGGATACAATCCCCAAAATGACAGAATGATCTCAATTCGAATCCAAGGCAAACCATTCAATATCACAGTAGTCCAAATCTATGCCCCAACCACTGGTGCTGAAGAGGATGAAATTGACCGGTTCTATGAAGCCCTACAGCACCTTATAGAATTAACACCAAAAAATGATGTCCTTATCATCATGGGGGATTGGAATGCTAAGGTAGGAAGCCAAAAGATAACCGGAATAACAGGCAAGTTTGGCCTTGGAGTACAAAATGAAGCAGGGCACAGGCTAATAGAATTTTGTCAAGAGAATACGATGGTCATAACAAACACTCTTTTCCAACAACCCAAGAGACGACTCTACACATGGACATCACCAGACGGTCAATATAGAAATCAGATTGACTATGTGCTCTGCAGCCAAAGATGGAGAAGCTCTATACAGTCAGTAAAAACAAGACCAGGAGCTGACTGTGGCTCAGATCATGAGCTTCTCGTTGCAAAATTTAGGCTTAAATTGAAAAAAGTAGGGAAAAGCACTAGGCCACTCAGGTATGAACTAAATCATATTCCTGATGAATATACAGTAGAGGTGACAAATAGATTTAAGGAACTGGATCTGATAGACAGAGTGCCTGAAGAACTATGGATGGAAGTTCGCAACATTGTACAAGAGGTAGCAACTAAAACCATCCCAAAGAAAAAGAAATGCAAGAAAGCAAAATGGCTGTCTGAGGAAGCTTTGCAAATAGCTGAGGAAAGAAGGGAAGCGAAAGGCAAAGGAGAAAGAGAAAGATACACCCAATTGAATGCAGAATTCCAGAGAGTAGCTAGAAGAGATAAGAATGCCTTCTTAAATGAACAGTGCAAAGAAATAGAAGAAAACAACAGAATAGGGAGGACCAGAGATCTCTTCAAGAAAATTGGAGATATGAAGGGAACGTTTCATGCAAAGATGGGCATGATAAAGGACCAAAATGGCAGAGACCTAACAGAGGCGGAAGAGATTAAGAAGAGATGGCAAAACTACACAGAAGAACTATACAAGAATGAGCTTAACATCCCAGATAACCACAATGAGATGGTCATTGACCTCGAACCAGACATCCTAGAATGTGAAGTGAAATTCCAGCTGAGCTATTCAAAATCTTAAAAGACAATGCAGTAAAAGTGCTACACTCAATTTGCCAGCAAATTTGGAAAACTCAACAGTGGCCAAAGGATTGGAAAAGGTCAGTTTACATTCCAATTCCAAAGAAAGGCAATGCCAAAGAATGTTCAAACTATCGCACCATTGCACTCATTTCACATGCTAGTAAAGTTATGCTTAAAATCCTACAAGCTAGACTCCAGCAGTATGTGGATCGAGAACTACCAGAAGTACAGGCAGGATTTCGAAGAGGCAGAGGAACTAGAGATCAAATTGCCAACATACGCTGGATCATGGAGAAAGCTAGGGAGTTCCAGAAAAACATCTACTTCTGCTTCATTGACTATGCAAAAGCCTTTGATTGTGTGGATCACAACAAATTGTGGCAAGTTCTTAAAGAGATGGGAGTACCAGACCATCTCATTTGTCTCTTGAGAAACCTATATGCGGGTCAAGAAGCAACAGTGAGAACCGAACACGGAACCACTGATTGGTTCAAAATTGGAAAAGGAGTCCGGCAAGGCTGTATACTGTCGCCCTGCCTATTTAACTTATATGCAGAGCACATCATGAGAAAGGCAGGGCTAGATGAATCAAAAGTTGGAATTAAGATTGCCGGGAGAAATATCAACAACCTAAGATATGCAGATGATACCACTCTAATGGCAGAAAGTGAAGAGGAACTAAAGAGCCTCTTGATGCGGGTGAAGAAGGAGAGTGCAAAAGTTGGCTTGAAACTCAACATTAAGAAAACCAAAATCATGGCATCCGGCCCTCTCAATTCCTGACAAATAGATGGGGAAGAAATGGAGGTAGTGACAGATTTTATTTTTCTGGGCTCAAAGATCACCTCAGATGGGGACTGCAGCCAAGAAATTAAAAGACGCTTGCTCCTGGGGAGGAAAGCTATGGCAAATCTAGACAGCATACTAAAAAGCAGAGACATCACCCTGCCAACAAAAGTGCGTATAGTCCAGGCCATGGTTTTCCCAGTTGCAATGTATGGCTGTGAAAGTTGGACCATAAGAAAGGCTGAGCGCAAAGAATTGAGGCCTTTGAACTATGGTGCTGGAGAAGACTCCTGCGAGTCCCTTGGACTGCAAGGCGTTCAAACCGGTCAGTCCTAGAAGAGATCAACCCCGACTGCTCTTTAGAAGGCCAGATCCTGAAGTTGAAACTCAAGTACTTTGGCCACCTAATGAGAAGGAAGGACTCACTGGAGAAGGGCCTAATGCTGGGAAAGATTGAGGGCAATAGAAGAAGGGGACGACAGAGAATGAGATGGCTGGATGGAGTCACTGAAGCAGTAGGTGTGAATTTGAATGGACTCCAGAAGATGGTAGAGGACAGGAAGACCTGGAGGAACGTTGTCCATGGGGTCGCGATGGGTCGGACACGACTTCGCAATTAACAACAACAATTACTATTGTGATGTGCTTCCTACATACCTTAGTTAGCTGACTAGCAAAAAGTTCATCTATTTCCTGTGTTTGGCTGGGTGGCCTATAGTATACACCTATGACAATGTTATTCCCCCCCCTTTTATATTGACCCATATGCATTCAGGACAGTTTTCATCATTGTTGTGCTCTATTTCTGTAGAGATGTAGTTATTTCTTATATAGAGAGCAATTCCACCTCCTCTTTTGTTTGGTCTGTTTCTTTTAAATAATTTAAATCCCTCTAGCTGTGTGTTCCATTTGTGGGTTTCATCCCACCATGTTTCCATAATGGCAACAATAGCATATCTGCCCTCATTAACCTGAATTTCTAGTTCACCCTGTTTGTCGTTCATACTCTGTGCGTTGGTTTGTAGACATTTGAGTCCTTTATGACCAACCCTGTGTTTACTTCCTACATAACCTGTGTGGTGCCTGAGTTCCCCTAAAGTCTTACCACCTATTTGATTAGTGCACTTTGTGCGGCATTCGCTATTAAGAGCTTGATTTTGCTTGACAGCAAGGTTGATGTTCTTGTCTACACAAATATATATATTACATGCACTGATAGCCCTATGATTTTTAGATTGCCGGGGACAGGGGTGTTCTGTACCAGTTAGCTCACTGTCCCTGCTGTTTAGTTTAAAAATTCCTCCAGAAAATCTGTGAATGTATAGCCAAGTAACTCAGTCCCTTTCTTTGATGGATGCAAACCATCAAAGTATATTTTTTCATTGGATCAGTTGCTGACATCGTGACTAATATATCCAAAACCTTCCCTTTTACTCCACTCCTTTAGCCACATATTGAATTGTGCTATACGCTGGCCTTTTCCATTTTGGTCCTTATACACTAGTAAGACCTCTGAAAAAAAAAGCCTACAGCCTATTCTGCTAAGTTCCTGCCCCAGGCTCTGAAAGTCATTCTGCACAGAGAATACATCTTTTTGGGACAGATCCTTAGTGCCAAGATGTACAATAGCCTCCACATCACAGTCCTTGCAGGCATTCTTGTTTATTTTACAAATATGCTTCTGGTCCCAACTGGCAGTAGCACCTGGGAGACACCTGACCTCTTTTGAAACTCTGTGTCCTTTCCTAAGTTTACATCCCTTATAATTGAATCACCAACCAGAAGGTGGCTTCTCTTTTGGGGTGCCTTTCTGTTCTTGCATGACTGATGTGTAATACCTGGTTCGCACTTCTCCCTGTCAAAAACAAGTTCTTCATCTTGGACCAAGATCCCCTGCTTATTTGAGTTATCATCACAAATACCTTTACCTGTCTCCTTAATGTCTTTATTAAGGTCAGCAAGGACACTGTATCTGTTGTGCAGGGACACAGCAAAAGCTTTGTGTTTATGGTTCACAGCTCTCACCCTGCCAGATCTCACGGTTGTCCACACTGCCCTTCTCTGCAGGATCTTTGTGGTAGAGGGGGTTGATAGCTTGGAGGCTCAGTGGAGTAGAAGGGCTGAACTGGACACCTAATTTCTGCCTGAAGAGCAGAGATTACAGACTCTAGATAAATAATCTGTCCTTGTAGACTAGTGATTTGTTTACAGATAGGACAGTTTCCAAGATTGGAAAGGGTACTGCGGAAGACATAATTTTTCCATAAATTATTAATAAATTTGAAATAAATAATCTATTAACCATAGCATAGAAGAAACCTCTCCATCAGCATAAATTGAGGACTTCCTTGCAAAATTAATAATGAAACAAGACACATTTTCAAATATTGAGGTTTTAAAGTTTTATTTCTTGGTTATATGATCACGTAACATTCCTTGTGATCTTGTTGAATTAATCATTATCAGCACATTTAATTGAATTTATATGAAATACAAAGCAGCTTAAGACTTTACATTTAGTTGATTCATAAAGTCATTTAAGAAATTCCTGGAAGATATGAAGCCAATTCATGATAACCAAAGAGTACCTCCAGTTTTAGATGTGGTTTGTGTATTCTTAATTTGGTGAGGGATGGCTGAGTGTGAATTCTTGACTACAAACACTGGGTATCACCTGATGATGCTTTGATAACCATTTCAACCTGAAGTTGTTCAAGGAAAGTCCATATTTCCATTTCTCCCTGAGTTCATTCTGAGATTCAGCACAAGATTTCTAGTTACTTAAAGAGTTATAGGGAGCCATGGAGATGACCTTGGGGAAAGAAGACAGAAGCTGTTGAAGAAGAAGCATGAATTAACTTCAGGTGGACAGAAGAGTATAAAACAGAGTCAAACTATCTCTCTCCCTTACTCCTCCTGATATGAGATGGAGGGGATGGAATATAGGTAGTCTTGCAAGATACCATTTCTATACTATCTTCATTATAAGAAGCAGTATACCATCCCAGCAGACTGTAGCCAGTTGGAGGCAAATTTCTTTGCTAATAATCAATGTCTAGTGTACAGGATTGTAAATGGCAGCATAGTGGTCAAAGACCATTACTGCAAGCAGGAGACATTCAATGCCCACAAAAGAAAAAAAGAAGTATGTTTGAAAAACACAGCTCATATAGGAAATGTTATTTTTCTCTGAGAGTAAATGAGCCAACATCTAGGGGGATAGTGTGCTTGTATAGCAAATGTCCAGAAAGGAGTGGTTCCCAGGGAAGACATACATGGAGTTTTGGAGTTTCTGGTTCATCAATGTCATTATGATAATGAAAGTATCCACACGACAGTAAGAGATAAATGATGAAGAACCTATTAAAGGTCAATAGATAGGTCTCCTATAGATTTCTAAAGCCAAGTACCCATATTATGAACTCAGTCAGATCACTTTGATTTTGTATTTCCTTATCTCAACATTTATTCCTATAAGGAATTTATAATTTATAAATTTACAATGAAGAAATTTCTTATGAAACATTTCCACCGTAATTATCAGAGTACATTATAATAGTCTAAGTAGAAAGAGATCATGGTGTGAGAAGGGCATGTTGGTCCAGGAATGGATGTAACTGGCATACAATCAATCAATCAATCTTTATTATAGTCACAGACCAGAAAACTGGCATACAATATCAATATCATACAATATCAAGTTGTGCAACTGCTATTTGTTCCTTAAGCCCAGGAGAACTTCATTATTAAGCCATGGGTAAGTCTGGGGCAGTGCAACTCCATCCACGATCAAAGATGGTAATGTTCCAAGAACCAAGGACCAGAGACTCTCTATCTTGCCAAAGTTCAGTTTTAGCCTATTCCTCCCCATCCAGACCTCAATAGCCTTCAGACACCGAGAGAGGATGGTCACAACATCATGTAGCTCACCATGGATTGAGTTGTATAGCTGAGTATCATCAGCATATTGATGATATCTTACTCCATGTTGATGGATGATCTCTCCAGTGGTTTCATGTAGACATTAAATGGATGGAAGAAATAGTTCAAATTGGTGGAAACTCTGCTTTATCAGATTAAAACAGATTAATATATATCAGGCAAAATTTCAAAACAAAACAACAACCTCAACTAGGCCAATGTATTCAAGGATCTATGATTTATCTATTTATTTTTAGAGTACTAATATCAGAGTACTCTATACCATTTATTCATTAAAAATGTGTAAGTACATAAGAAGTTTGAATCATATCATTGTAAGATGATGATGCCATTTATCACTTTTAAAATATCTCTAAAGCCCTTTCTAATTTATGACTACATTATCTAAAAAAGGAGGGAACTCTTTTTTCCTATATGCTTCTATCTGAATGTTACAAAATTTAAATCTTTCTCATTATATTTCTCCAAGCATTCCTTACATCTTTGTTTCGCAAAGTATATATAACAGGATTTAGTAATGGAGTCAAGATGCTGTACATTAGTGGGGTCAGCTTGGTATTAACAGAAGACTGGGAAGGGACAGGTCTCAAGTAGGTGAAAATGCAACTGCCATAATAAAGTAGAACCACTGTAAGATGAGAGGAGCAGGTGGAAAAAGCTTTTTGTCTTCCTTCTGCAGACTGCACCTTCAGTACTGTGAAAATGATGGATAAATATGACAGAAGGATGCAAACAAGAGGTGTCCATGCTATGAATAATCCAATAGATAGCAAGAGCTTTTGGTTGAGGGAGACATCTCCACATGACAACTTTAGCAGTGGAGGAATATCACAGTAGAATGCATCTAGGCGATTGTCTCCACAAAAAGGTAACTGAAGGGCAAAATAAGTATGAATTGCAGAGTTAAGAAAACCTCCAACCCAGCAAGCTATAGCTAGTTGGAGGCAAACCCATCTCCTCATAAATAATGAGTAGTGCAAAGGATTGCAAATAGCAATATAGCGATCCAAAGCCATTACTGCCAGAAGAAGGCATTCTGTCCCTACAAAGGAGAAGAAAAAGTACAGTTGGAGAACACAGGCTGTGTAAGAAATACTGCTCGTGTCTTTGAGAATAAGATCCAGCATCTGTGGAATTGTGGTGCTAGTGTAGCAGATGTCAAGGAAAGACAGGTTCCCCAAGAAAAAATACATGGGGGTTCTGAGCTTCTGATCAAAAATTGCTATAGTGATAATGGAGATATTCCACAGCACTGTGAATAAATAGAGAGTCAGGAATACACTGAAGAGCAAGTACTGTAGTTCCTGCAGGTTTTGAAACCCAAGGATGATGAACTCTGAAAGCATAGTTTGGTTTTGTATTTTCATGCCTCCTCCCAAATAAAGTACTTCTTGTTGTTGTGGTGGTGGGATAGCTTAAAGTGGAAAAAACAAAGTAAATTCCATGCAAATTGTGAACATTTGAACATAAGGTAAAAAAATCCATTCTGAATCAGATCCGGCTATTAATGTCCAAATATATTTATTTGGATTTCAAACAAAACAAAACAGAACAGAACAAAACAATATTTTAAAAAAATTATATAGCTTCTCAGTGACTAGTATACTAATTTGCATGGTTTGGAATTTTGTTGTTATGGAATTCATGTCCACTATTGTTTAAAGAGAGTGACATATTACCTATTTTTACATGCTGAATCCTGAATCTATGCATTTAATTTCAAGATGAGCTTGAACTTTTTTAACTTTTCCGTCATAGCCATGAAGTTTCCTTGAAAGTGATATGGAGTGTTTTCCTTCCTTCTTTCCTTCCTTCCTTCCTTCCTTCCTTCCTTCCTTCCTTCCTTCCTTCCTTCCTTCCTTCCTTCCTTCCTTCCTTCCTCCCTCCCTCCCTCCCTCCCTCCCTCCCTCCCTCCTTTTTCTTTTTCCTAAATACACTAACAAAAGCACTACATGGTGCCTCAAGCTGTTTATCACATGGAGAATGGATCACCTATAAGCCTCTTTTTGAAACATTAACTGGGCTTGATTTTGTGGAATGGACTTCAGTGAGAAGTCCATGCAATTAATTCTAACAACTTAACATTGTAGATAATGCACATTTCTTTTAAACCTATGATTTCATACCTTGGATTATTTTATAATTAAATAATGGCATACATATGGAATATATTTCAGGACAAAGAATAATTTGTGTCATTGTGCAAATGATATTTGTCATACAGATGAATCAAAACATCAGAGATGAAAAAATAGGGTTTTTTTAGAGGGGGCTTTTTGCACTTCCTTATATATTGGGATTTTTTTTAATATTCTCTTAGATTAATGCTAATCTAATGTTAACGCTAACATTAACACCACTTAATTATAATACAAGTGTGTTTTATAAACAGTTAAATATTCATGATATAAAAATGCATTGTTATTCAAAATACTTGGAACTGCAAACATAGTGTAATGGGAAATATTCCCAGATTTATAGTTATAGAATGTAGATCTTATGGAGCCTACATGTAATAACTAAAGAATGACTTAATACCTGTTAATAAGACAACCAATAACCCAGTCTCAATCACATTATATGTACAATAAACTCATATTATATTATGTTACAAATTCATATAATTTTTAAATAATTCCTGATTTATTTACATTAAACCAAAGAGAGTTTTGTTATGTGATCTAAACTATTTCTTCAATATGAGCTTTCTAAAATGATATCTTTGTTACCTTCAAAAAAACCATTGTTGTTTCATTCTTTTCCTCCTAACTGCTGCATGTTCTGCATTTATTTTTTCAAACCAGACAGAATGTACTTCTGAATTTCTACTCTAAAAGTTCCTAAACAGGAAATATGGAATTACTCCCAGATGTATTGTAAAGTTTTTAGCTAATCAACAGCATCATAATAAATTGCATAGAAAGTAAATTAAGACATGAATAATCTCACCTAGTAACTACGTTTTTAGAAATATGCATTATTTGATGACATCTATCTATCTATCTATCTATCTATCTATCTATCTATCTATCTATCTATCTATCTATTTAGCAAAATTATATAACTTTAAAAAACCACATTAGACTAAATTAAATTAAGCTTTTCAGGAATTTACCATTTTAATTCAGGAAGTCCATCATTAGGAAATTCATTCAAAGAGAAATTTCCAATATTATGTTACTTATTAATATGTCTTGCTGTACTGTTTCCTGATAAAGTCAAGAAAAAAAATTCCTACCATTTTCTTGACAATAGTTTTAGAAGTTTCTTGACAATACCTTCCTTCAAGGGTTTAAAGAGAGTGACTGATTCAACTTAGATTTCAAACAGGAGATAGAACTAGAATTCAAAGTCTCCTGTTTTATATTATTTATATTATAACTGCTAGACCAATCTGGATCTTTATCTATGCTATTTAGTGGCTTATCCTATCAAAATCCTTTGGGGAAAAAAAGGAAGATTAAGTGTCAACATATATTTTATTTTTTCATTTTACTTATTCAATTTGTATAATCACCCATCTCAAATCAGTGACTCTTAGTAGCAAACAATTATATTTTCCTTGCATAGTTTAATAATGTTTTCCTTGCATAGTTTAATAATGAATGGGATGGTTGACATAGCAACTAGGAGAATGGAAAAGAGATTATAATTCTATTCCCTAGTTCCTACAGAAGGAAGATAAACACAGTATCTTCCTTTTTTTTCTTATTGCTTGGAAAGATTGAGAATTTCGCTACACTCTTTAAGTCAGGAAATATCTACCTAGGTGGTTACTCTAGAGTTATTCCTCAACTCTAAAGAATGGGAAGCTGTATTATCATTATTATTGTTATTTTGTTGTTGTTGTTATTGTCATCATCATCATCATCCTTATTGGCCAAATGAGATTTGTGAGCTGTTAAAAGGAGTAGAGAATGGAAAGTATCTATGAAGAAGATGATGCAATGGACCACAGTAATGCACAGGGTTCTCAGGAAGGATGAATCACATTCCAAGGAAGGGGACAAGATAAGAGAGAGCACAGTCTAGAACTGGATCATGTGAAGAGAATGATATTTAGCATAATCACTCCCCACAATTGCCCAAGATATATCCATTAGATTAGGGTAGTACGCACTTACTCTGCCAAGATTTTGTCTGTCTGGTGTATGCAAATAAAGAACTGAACATAGGCTGGATTGTGCTACATCATTCTTAGGTTTGGCCTGCAATACCACTTCAGGGACAACATATTTGAGAAATGGGAATCATTTTAAATCTATTGTATAGCATATCTGATGGCACCTCATTTAATCTGCTTTTTGAAAATTCTACATTCTATTTACATAAATGTAAATTAATAAGGAGTACAGTAATCTGAAACAGTGTGCTTATAATTTATTCAAAAATTCAGAAGTAAACCCAAAGCTTTGGCTTTCACTGTTAATTTCTGTACTGAGCTATCTCATAAACTTTGTAAAATACAATAAAATGCTGACGAAACACCACTAAAAAACAAACATTTTTTTTTATATAAAACTGATTAATCTTTTGGGTCATCTGTTTAAACTGTATATCTGCATAATAATCATCTGATAGTTCACATGATAATCCTACTTTGTTTTTGAAAACATTATGTCAGGCTCCTCAAATTATTTTTGGGATGCTGCCATTCTGTTAGGAGGGGGAGGCTTTTCTTCTGTTGGGCGGGGGAGGCCTGGGCTGTGGGATGTGTTTCTTTTGTTCTTTCAACCTTTGTTGTATCTCTTTGGGTTAGAAAGAGGGGAGGAATGTTCCTAGGGCAATCTGCCTTATCTCTGCTCCACTGAGAAGAGGATGCAATGCCTTGGAACAAAGTTTTATTGCTCATTTAACTGCCAGTTTCCATAACAACTTCACACCTGGAACAGTACCTACGATGCTTCATCAACTATCAGCAAGACAATAGGACTGACCTCCTGCTGTTCACCAAAGTGGCTTATAATAATGCTATGCACTCTAGCACCAGGTTCACCCCTTTTCAAGTGGCCACTGTACAAAAGTTCAACCCAATGCCTAAACTACCAATCGATGAACCCACCATCTCTTCCCTTAAGGAATGGATGAATCAAGTGCAAAATACTTGGCCAATTGTTAGAAAAACTCTAGATGAGGCTGGAGTAGCTTATAAGGCTCAAGTGGATAAAAAGAGAATAGAATCTAAACCATTCCACATTGAGGACAGAGTACACCTGTCTACCAGTTTCCTGAAATCCCTTTAACCTTCCCAAAAGTTAGGGCTAAAATTTGTGGGACCCTTTCCAATCAAATGAATTATAAACCAGTCACAATGGAGTTGGAGCTTTCCAAGGCCTTAAGGCAAATCCACCCTATATTTCATTATACTCTGCTAAAACCTGAGATAACATCACCTTTACATCCAATCACTCCCCCAGGGCCTCAACCCATCATGGTAGAGGGTAAGCAACACTTTGAGATATCCTAAACTTACATAAACACTATGAAGCCACCCAGTATTTGGTGGCCTAGAAAGACCTCCCTGTATCCTAGAACAAATGGGTTAACAAGAAACAAATGTTTTCATACACATTGCCTGGATAAAGCTGACTAATTTGTGAATTCTCTTTCTCCCTTATTTTGTTATTTTATATTTCTCCAGGTGGACTTCTCTTTCTTTTAAGGAGGGATGGTATGTCAGGCCCTCAAATTATTTTTGGGGTGCTGCCATTCTGTTAAGAGGGAGGAGGCTTTTCTTCTGTTGGGAGGGGGGAGGTCATGGGCTCTGGGTGTGTTTCTTTTGCTTTGTTCTTTCAACCTTTGATGTGAAAGTAGGGAATAAAGAGGATGCAACAGTTAAGAACAGAGTTTTACCACTCCTTCAACTGCCAGTTCCCATAACAATTTCACACCTGTGTATTGGCTGAAATGGATTTTAACTGGGCAGTTGGGTACCTGGGAAGGGATTTGAAGAGAGGGTTTTAATGTAATGTTTCATGTGGGAATTATTCATATCTTGCCTAGCCTTTCTACTTTCACTGTCTGTCAGTAAAAGTTCTTGTTGAATATACTTTTAATATACTTGTTCCATGAGAACAACAGTGTTTGGAACACAACTTGGAATACTTAAAGATTTTTAAAATTTCACTTGTAATTGCATTTGCAATTGAGTTGCTACTAGAATCCAAACTGGAGTTCTAAATAAAATTTCAAATGCAACTGTTTGCATTAAAAATTGGATTTCTGTGGTGACAAATATCCTTCCTTTGAATAAAAATACTAAAATAAGGCTGCATAATTTTGTTTTTGATTTCAGAACTATCACATTGTAATAGTATTGCCAGAACAGAGCATGCATAAGTAAAATGCCCAGATAACTAAAACTCTTGATCTTGAATTTTCCAGCTATATTTTTTAAAACACTTTTCTCAAAAACATGAATTTTAGTTTATTTATCATTGAGTTTCAAACCCAGTCTAAATATGTGAGAGCAAAATTTTCTACATATAGCAAAGCACAAATTTTCCTTTAGATTAACAATGAACAGGAATCATCAACCTGAAACAATATAATTTCCAAACCATTGATGCAGATCTATTCCACTGCAATTTTAAAATTATACGGGTAAGAGATATGTGAATCAATGAAGATCCCATTTCAGTTTGATTTTTAAAGAAATGAATTGAATCATAATCATTTGAAATTCAAAAGTGTTATTTCATTTAATATTTGATTTGCAGTCAACATGCAGTCACAAATTGTAAAAGAGAAATATCAAAAGACTTGTAGCTTTATTTTTCCCCTTCCCAATCTTTGACAGAAGGGGATAAAAATGCAGACATAACAGGCCCTTCAGAGGGTATTTTTCTGAAAGGAATTATAGCAACACATTTTTAAGTTACTAAATATTTGAACTCTTTGAATATTCCCCAAGGCCACTTATAAAGCAAATCACGAAGATATGAAGAAAGCACAGCACAGAAACATTCATATTGTCTAGAAAATACATTCTGGAGACTATGATAAATTAATGCTGAATTCATACTAATATTAGATGAATGTTAATCTTAGAAATAAAAAAAATCAAAAGGTTTTAAAAGTAGATTACTAAAAATTGAGAATTTTACCATTCTCTGACTACTTCCATTTTTGGGGTAGCAGGCTAGTTGCAATGGCTGATTTCTTCTTTAAGGCATGACACTTTATGTGATGCTTGAAGTTCTTGATTTCTCTTTGTTTTTGTTTTAATTTACAAATTAAAAATATACTTTGCATTGTCCCAAATATAGGAGGAGATACAGAGTAGGAGTACCAAAACATTTTGAACCTCTTTGAAGTGATTCAAAGATACTTGATTTTATTTAATAGCTGCCATGAATTTGAATCAATCTTTTGAAGCTTTGTAAAGTCATATTACATTGAACAAAATTATGCCATAATAAAATGTCCTATCACACGAATTGAGATATATTTCTTTAAGTTAGCTGTCTCCCAAATTACAAATTTCAGATTTTTTTAAAAAAATGATCATTCTCAGATTTTATCGAAGAATAGGAGTTGTTGAAATTTTAACTGCAATAAGGAATCTAGAGTCAATTTTCCAAATGTATAAAATTGATTGTGCAAATTTATTTATTTTGTGGTTGCATTTGCTTTTTATTTTATCCTAATAGACCCTAGATATGTTAAATATAGAAATAAAAAGCAATAAACTCCCTCGCTATTCCTTTTGGTGTCTCTTCTCTGGTTTCTCCAGATTTGAAGATTGATACACTTAAGCTCTTTTCTTCAGATTGCCTTCTACAGAAAGAATAAAATATAGTAGTTCCTTCCCCTACTATTAAGACAGAAAAATTTGCCTTGAAAAAAGCAATTTTTTAAAATGTACTTTTGGACCATAAGCATCTGTTCATAGATATCTCTAATGGGCTTGAGTTCTACATACTTACATTTTGTCCTGAGACATTATGAAAACTGGGGCCCTTACAAGCTTGATAGATGAAATGAGGGAAAATAGAATACAAAATAAAATAAAAAAAATGATTGCATTACAGACACATATCACAGGCTGAGCATTTTACAGAATTGAAATCCCTTGTCCCAAAGGCACTTTTCAAAAGGCAAATGGCTTGTCTTTCTTCAAGAAAGTCCAGTGGCCTTTGGAAAGGCACCTTTGGGACAACCATGACCTGGATGACTGAGAACCTCCATTGACAATCAAGTCCTCTTTTTGTATTCTGTGAGTGCATAGAATCTTCAGTTCTCTTAGTAACTCCCAAAACATTTTGTCTTGCAAGAGAATAATTTCTTCCTCATAATATTTTGCAGAGCTTCTTTTACATCCTTGTTCCTAAGAGTATAGATCAGAGGATTTAATATAGGGGAAATCACATTGTTAACAAGGGCAACAATGCTGTCCCTGTTTAATGAATAGCTGGACGTAGGTCTAATATATGAAAAAAGGCAGCTGCCACAGTAGAGCAAAACAACAATGAAATGTGAAGCACAGGTAGAGATGGCTTTCCTCATAGCAGCTGAAGAATTCATTTTCAAAATTCTTGAGATAATGCAAATATAGGAAATTACGATGCACATTGCTGGTGCCAAGCCCATTATGGGGCTGGTGGCCAGTATTGCATTAGTGCTTCTGGAAATGTTCCCACAAGAGATAGCTAATAAAGGAGAGATATCACAATAAAAGTAATTGATTTTATTGCCCCTGCAAAGGAGCAGACTGAATGTGAAAACTGTGTGTATAGTGGAATTGAGTGAGCTTATTAACCAAATAGCAGATAATAGCTGGCTACATAGTTTTTGACTCATGACCATAATATAGTGGAGAGGATTGCAGATGGCAACATAACGATCATAAGCCATCACTCCCAACAAGAGAAATTCACTCCCAACAAATAAAACATAGAAAAAGAGTTGTATTTTGCACCTTTCATAAGCAATAACACTTCTTCCTGAGAGCAAGTTCACTATCAACTGAGGAATGGTGGTTGTGTTCAGGCAAATGTCCAGGACAGAAAGATTGCTGAGGAAGAAGTACATAGGGGTTTGGAGATTTGGTTCAGAAAAGACAAGAAAGACGATCAGAGCATTTCCCATCACTGTGAAGAAGTAAGTGAAGATCATGAGTCCAGAGAGGAAGAAATGCCATTTAAAAAGGTCTGAAAATGCCAGGAGAATAAATTCTGATGGAGCAGTTTTGTTACTGATATTCATTGTATTACTTTTATTGATTGTTTTCTTCTGTCTAGATAGAAACCAAAATATATAATTAGGTGAAAATATTACTGGAAAATAAATGATCAAAAAAGAGTTAAATAAGAGTACAAATAAACATCTAAAAACAAAAATATCCCCAACACATTTGACCATGTTAGAATCTTGAAGTTGTTTTCCCATAAATACATATATTTGTTTTTATTTCTGTAACAGTTCATGTGTTAAAAGTTTCCCAATCCATAGAACATTTTGATTATTTCTCCATATAGATCATTTTAAAAGATTTTTGAGGAGATTTTTTTTTTTAAAAAATATTGTAATAAGATATCTAGGTGCCTGCCTCCCTACCTTCCTTATTTTCTTCTTCTAGGAAATCTAGATTATATTTTCCTTCTATTTTGCTTAGAACTGAAACATTGAATCAAACAACACTGGACAAATTGAACTAAATAAATTCAACTGAATTAGCTATTAAGGCAATATACTGTACATGCAGAATTTGTGAGCAGAAGGAAAAAGACATTTTTATGAAATCTGAAAATTATCTGTACCTCTTACTTCCAAAAAAACCTCTATGTCCTTTTTTCCCATACAGTATCTTTTTTGGGGGGAGGGGGGAATTATTCTGTCTTATTGACTATTAAAATCCACATGAAGGAATTTATAATATCAAAACAAAAAGGCAAGAGTTCTTATCAGAAACACTCAGCACATGGCAATTGATAGCCAATTATTGATTCTTATTTTAAGCAAATGGTGTGTATGTGTGTGTGTGTTTGTGTGTGTGTGCATGTCCACACAAGTGCTCGCACAAACATGTGTGTGTATAGACAGACTATGGCAACTGGGATTTCTCAGAATAATACCATGCATTGTGTAAACAACTAAGAAAAGGAAGAAAAAGAAATTGTGAAGTAGATTCCTATGGCAGCCAGATTTGAAATACATCAGCTCATCTAAGCAACAAGGTGTGATATGATGATAATATGGACCAAAAAGAATTGTAGTTAATTTAAAATAATATACACCACAAGTCTCAAGAAGAAAAACTCAAAGAACAGATTGTGCATTTTCCAAAACATTCTTATTTTCTGAGCTGCTAAGCAGTTGCAACAGAATACACCTCTGTCATTTGAGAAAAAATCATATTGACCGATTGATTTTCAGACTTATAGGGCTTACAGAAGCTTCCAGAAATCATTGTTGCATTTGATAAACATTATTCAAGATATTCATGAAGCACTAGAACACAGTTAAACTAGAGTCTTGGACTTCAAGAGAGCTAATTTCAATAAACTTAGAGAGGGTTTGGGAAGGATTCCATGGATGAGAATCCTCCAGGGGAAAGCAACTCAAGAAGCTTGGGAAATTTTGAAAAGTGAGATAATAAAGGCCCAGTCTAGCACAATATCAACAAAGAGGAAAAATAACAGCTCTCAAAAGAAACCAGCATGGCTGCACAAAGAACTCTCTGATCAATTGAAAGATAAAAAGGACAAGTATAGAAAGTGGAAAGAGGGACACATAACTAAGTCAGAATATCAGCAAATAGCCCAAGCCTACAAAGAGGAAGTGAGGAAAGCTAAGGCTCAAAAAGAACTAAGGCTTGCGACCAAAGTCAAAAATAACAACAAAAAAAGCTTCTTTCAACATGTAAAAACAAGAAAATAGTGAAGGAAACAATTGGTCCATCAGTGGGTGAAAGTGGCAAGCAGGTGACAAGCAACAGGGAGAAAACAGAACTATTTAACTTGTTTTTCGCATCTGCCTTTACACAAAGGGAAAAAGCAGACCAACCTATCAAAAATAGTGCCATAAAAAAACAGAATAGAAACACAAATTAAGATAGGCAAGAAAATGGTAAGTGAGCACCTGTCCAGCCTAGACGAGTTCAAATCACCAGGATCAGATGGATTACATCCCAAGGTTCTCAAGAAACTGGCAGATGTGATCTCAGAACCACTGAACTAAATTTTCCAAAGATCCTGGAGAACTGGGGAACTGTCAGAGGACTGGAAAAGAGCTGATACCAAATGTTTCCTGCCTGAGCAAGGGGTTGGACTAGATGACCTCCAAGGTCCCTTCCAACATTATTATTATTATTATTATGGATCATCGCACAGTCAGCCAGATGTTCAGACTGGATTTGGCATTTTGTCTACCTATCGAGTCCTTACCCAGGACCTGGGATAGGCAGATGTGGATGTTTGATGGTATTACAGATATCGTCGCAGGATGGAAGCAGTTCCTAATAAGGCTGCCTTTTGCAATTGACTAATAGCGAATTTGTCAATGCCAATGGTGTTCAAGTGGTGCTCCAGTTGTTTTGGGATTGCACCCAAGGAGCCTATGACTATTGGTACTACCCTTGCTTGCTTTTGCCACAGTCTTTCTATTTCTATTTGTAGGTCTTTGTATTTTGTTATCTTCTCCAGTTCTTTCTCTTCTATTCTGCTGTCTCCAGGCACTGCCACGTCCACTATCCAGACTTTTTTGTCTTTCTTATCGACAATTGTTAAGTCTGGGGTGTTATGTTGCAGGTGCTTGTCTGTTTGCAACATTATTATTATTATTATTATTATTATTATTATTATTATTATTATTATTATTATTATTATTATTATTATTATTATATTACCCCCTGCTCAGACAAGAAACCCTATACCATTCTTTAAGGGCCCAGAGGGGGAAAAAAATCATGACTCATCTATCGGGTGTTAATAAAGAATATCCTGTATCCCAAAGCATGCAAGAAAGGAAAAGTTTTGAAGAAAAATATTGACACTAGAGATAGTAGAAAGTAGACAAATGGCTGACAGTCTGTTCTTAAAAACTTCCAATGTTGGAGCATTCAACACTTCTGGAGGCAAGTTGTTCCACTGCTTAATTGTTCTAACTGTCAGAAAATTTCTCCTTAGTTCTAGGTTGCTTCTCTCCTTCATTAGTTTCCATCTATTGCTTCTTGTCCTGCCTTCAGGCGCCTTGGAAAATAGCTTGACTCCCTCTTCTTTGTGGCAGCCCCTGAGATATTGGAACACTGCTATCATGTCCCCCCTCATCCTTCTCTTCATTAAACTAGACATACCCAATTCCAGCAAACGTTCCTTATAAGCTTCAGCCTCCAGTCCCCTAATCAACTTTGTTGCTCTTCTCTGTATTCTTTCTAGAGTCTCAACATCTTTTTTACATCGTGGTGACTAAAACTGGATGCAGTATTCCAAGTGTGGCCTTACCAAGGCATTGTAAAGTGGTATTAATATTTCATGTGATCTTGATTCTTACCCTCTGTTAATCCAGCCCAGCAAGGAAATTGGCTTTTTTGGCAGCTGCAGCACACTGCTCGCTCATATTTAAGTGATTGTCCACTAGGACTCCGAGGTCACTCTCACAGTTACTACTATTGAGAAAAGTACCCCCTACACTATACCTGTACATTTGGTTTTTCTTACCTAAATGTAGAACCTTGCTTTTTTCACCATTGACTTTCATTTTGTTATATAGTGCCCAATGCTGAAGTCTGTCAAGATCGTTCTTTACCTTAAGCCTATCTTTTGGAGTTTTGGTTATTCCTGCCAGCTTGGTGTGATCTGCAAATCTGATGAGTTCCCCATCTATCCCCTCATCCAAATCATTCTAGTACTGGGCCTAGAACAGAACCTTAGGGTATCCCACTACACATTTTCCTCTATGTAGAAGCAGTTCCATCAAAGATCACATGCTGAGTACCATCGGTCAGCCACATGTTTCTATTTTATCAAGAAGTAAGTTGTGGTCTATTTTATCAAACGCCTTACTAAAGTCCAAGTAAATTATATCCACAGCATTCCTCTAGTCCACTAATTTTGCTATCTTGTCAAAGAATGCAATAAGAATTGTTGAGATTTAGAGTATATTACAGTAACCATAGGGAGATAACTAATCCAATAAAATCAATGAAAGTATAAAAGGGATATAGTTACATCTTTAATATCTATATTAATTAAAAATTAAAAGTCTGTCCAGATCCTTCTGTATCTTAAGCCTGTCTTCTGGAGTCTTGGATATTCCTGCCAGCTTGGTGTCATCTGCAAATTTGATGAGTTCCCCATCTATCCCCTTGTCCAAATCATTGATGAAGAACAGCTCTACTTTCTACTATCTCTAGTGTCAATATTTTTCTTCAAAACTTTTTCTTTCTTGCATGCTTTGGGATACAGGATCTTCTTTATTAACACCCAATAGATGAGTCATGATTTTTTTTCCCCCTCTGGGCCCTTAAAGAATTCTCTCTCTGGGGTGATGTCCAAGGCTTGATAATCATAGTCTCTGTGTTTCTTTAATCAGAAACGTAGGATTCTGAGGAAGCCCCACCTTATTTTTTTTATAGCTCTGAATGTTTAAATGAAAGGTACTGTTTTCAGTGAGTTGCAATGTCTTATTGGCCTTTGAATTGAAATGAAACAAGGTTGATTATAGATTTATTGTTTTCTCTGTCCTTTTAAATGAACACTACTTATTTAATTTATCAGTTCTTAAATATTATTTGGATCTATCAACTAAAGTTTCAGTTTAATTTGTTGTTGATTAATTGTTGCTGCTTATTTTTCTTTGGATATTTATAGTAAGCTTATGATCCTGATCACAGCACACACTGAAAGGAAGTTTATTCTAAGATTTTCCAGGTATAATCACGATCCATTCATATAAAACTAATAAAAGAATTATTTTAATTCTGTACTGAGGTCCATGAATTTTTTTAATAACCACATCATAGATGGAATAAAACAACCTCTCACCAAAATAACTACCCCAATTGCAATTTATCAAAAATATAATTTCATACAATGTATTAAACATAATGTGCAAGCTGCTCATAGATAATTCTGTGAATAACTAATATCGTTTCTAATTCTTGTATTCTATTTAAATATAAAATTTATATTTATTTGTATTGAATATCAACCTGGTTTCCATCAATGCTTAGATTGCCTAGTTTTTTTATTATTTTATTTTGATTTAGTCAGATTGTTATCCCAGTTATGGACTGAATAAGCATTGATGTCCTTATCCAAGTTGTCAGTTAGGACATTGAATTCCACAGTACATAGCACAGAAACAATATTCAGTAATATATCTTAGAATAGGCAATGGTTGTTAAATTAGATCATTTCAAGAAACTTTTAAATGAATTCATGGACTATGTATGAGAGCTAAATAGACTATCCAAATTCAAAGATATTCCATATCTGAAAATCAGGTATTGGAGAAAAAAAATGTTATCAGAGTTATGTATTCTATCTGTAAACTCCCTAGATATATTATAGTTGGCTACTGTTGGAAATAGTATTAAATTTTCTAAAACCTAGAGAACAATAACAATTCATTTAATAATTTCATTTCAAATAATAAACAAACACAACCAAAGAACTTAATGATATTTGCTCTGGTACAAGTATAAGAATAATAACTTCATTCATCATTGTTATTTTTAAAACCTATAATTTTATTTACAGTTGCTATCATTATTTCTCTCTGTGTGTCTGTCTCTTTCAGCATATTCACACTAGAATTTTGCACTAGAATTTGAAAACAGCTTGGAATTTTTGGGTTCAAACACTGTCAGCACTTTTTGATCACAATTAAGGTCCAGCTGTACCATAACTAAATCAACAGAGAAGCTTTGGTTTGATTTGTGATGCTCCACTCTCCTATTTAAGCAAGCAATTGCCTCTTGTACCTGAATTTCAGGCATTTTAAGGGAAATATTTGAAATTTCCCCTTAGCCTAGACAAAGAAATAAGGGTGAAATTGACAAGGGCATTGTGGATTTCCCTATCATTTCTCTTAGAGACAAACAAGGAATATTTGGTTCTTGTTTTTAATATTTCAGGTCACGATAAGCATTGATCATGGTGTTTCTTAAATTCAAGAAATAAAGAATGGTAACATAGAGTTGCTATTAGACATAGGTCTCCTCACTCTTCATAGAAGTAATCTATTACAATTGAATTACACCTCCAGGAGAACCTAAGAACATTGCAGCAGATGGAGAATCGCAGCACCATATCTGAATTCCAGCTTCTAGGGTTTCAGATCTTTTCAAAGTGGGAGATCACCCTTTTTGCTCTATTCTTATTTATCTATATATTAACTGTCACAGGGAATGTGATTATCATTGCAGTGGTCAAGTTGGAGCCATGTCTTCACTCTCCTATGTATGCTTTTCTCCAAAACCTTTCTTTCCTAGAGATTTGGTATACCAGCACAATTGTGCCTAAAATGCTCCGCAGTCTTCTCTGGGAGACCAACACCATCTCTTACAATGGATGCATAACCCAGCTCTACTTTTTTGTCTTTCTGGGGGCAACAGAATGCTTTCTTTTATCTGTGATGGCATATGACAGATTCCTGGCCATCTGTGATCCACTGCATTACACAATAACCATGGATAGTCAGACCTGTAGACGACTGGCAATTGGGTCTTGGGTGATTGGTCTCATCACAGGACTGTTGCCATCTTTGTTGATCTCCAAATTATCTTTCTGCAGATCCAACCGAATCAATCATTTCTTTTGTGATATCCCACCTTTGTTGAAGCTCTCTTGTTCTGATACTTCAGTCACTGAGATTACTATATTTGTGCTCTCTTTGTTGGTCCTTTTTACATGTCTCTTGCTTACCTTGGTATCTTATGCCTTCATCATCTTTACTATTCTAAAAATCCCCTCTGCTTCTGGAAGGAAAAAGGCCTATTCCACCTGTGGCTCCCACTTGGCTGTGGTGATAATATATTTTGGCACTATGATCTCAATGTACGTTCGCCCCAATATTAACTTTTCCTCAGAACTGAATAAGGTGATATCTATTTTCTACACTGTCATAACACCCCTTCTGAATCCTGTAATTTACAGTCTGAAGAATAATGATTTCAGAGGAGCCTTTCAGAAACTAATTGAGAAGATGCATGCCCAATTTTGCTTGTAAAGCAATGAAATGTGGTTGTAGATTTTAATTTACTGTTATTTTTACATTGCACTTGTTTCAAAAATCAGTAAACTGAAGTATCATAAGCTTACTATATGTATAATTTCTAATGTACTGGCATATGTAGTAGCTATAGCAACATTTTCAAACTCAATTCCAAAATCAAATCAGATATGTTCAAATATACAATTGTAACATGAGTCTGATGGAATGATCTTTATTATGTTCCTAACTACAAATAAAATATTATTGTCTTGTCTGCTCCTTCTCATCTAAATAATGGAGGATTGTCTTTGATGTAATGTATATCCTAAGACCATTCAAAGTTATAAAGGAAAAATATGATCCTTTTTCACACTTATGGCCATTGTGAGGTCATGTGAACAAAATTCAGAGGCTTGGCAACTAATTTATATTTGTGACTGTTGCAGTGTCCAAGAGACATGAGATCACCATTTGTGACTTCCTTATAAGCAAAGTCAAAAGGGGAGCCAGATTCCCTTAACAACCATGTTACTAACTTTTCAGCTGTGCTGATTCACTTAACAACTATAGCAAGAAAGGTTATAAAATGTGACAAAATTCATATAACAACTGTTTCACTTAGCAATAGAAATTTGGGGCTGAACTGTGGTCGTAGATTGAGGCCTACCTATAATCTGCCTACCTGTAACCATGAATTCCATATTATAAGCTTCAATGAACTTTTCTTATTATGAAGTATAGAATAATATTCAGAATTATATTTGCATGGAGTAAATATATTGTATGACTTTGAATTGTCTTTATTTTGTTTAAACTTCTTAGGAAGTTCCAGTCACAAGCTTTCAAAATGAGACTAAAATGGACCCTTGGTTTGGAGATATGCTGGAAACTAGACATTTTCTGGGTTCAAAGATAGCATCAGGGTAAATTGATAAAAAAAATGGAAAAGAAATGCCATAATTGAACTCTGAAGGATATAATAAAGTTTCTACTTCATATTGGCAAAGTGTGGTCAAAGCAACACAAAAATTATTTATCAGGGTAATTTATATCGTCACTGAAATCCACTTAATATATAGACAGCTGCAGATATAGATATAGTTTTACATAGCATTTGGTACTAATCAAATTCCATGTATGTCATTTATTGATTTTTTTTAAGTAACTCTGAATCACTAAACAAGAAGCTACATGATTCTAGTTATGAGGGCAGATTACCAAGCTGCATGGTTAAAGTAAGCAAAATATCAAAATCAGTACATGATTTTCCAATCAAAGGTTCCTAGGAAGAAACTTTGGTCTCCACTTGAGGTGTTGAACTTTTAATTAAAAGTTAATTAACTTAACGTGTTTATTTTATAGCTATTATATAACAAGGCATTATAACTGACTGCATCTAGAAAAGGGTGCAACTTTTATTCTTATATACAGAATAAGGTACAAGAATTCAGCTAGTGTTAGGACAAATTGGGTAAAACTTCAGTGTTTATATGTAAATAAATCAGAATATGTTGCTAAACAAAATTAGGCATATAGCTATACATGCATACTTTTATTATATCTTTGAATGTTTAATGGATTTTGTTGCTTATAAAGTAACTATAGCAAATCTATTGAACTATACAATGGATATAATAGGAGAATTGAGGAAGCAGATTTAAAATAAAAAATTAAAAGTTCCACTGTGTTTTCATTCCAATTCTATTAATGCCTTTTTCATTTAAATAAATTTTTATTGTTTAAATTAATACACATTTTTATGATTAAAGTTATCCATAGGACATGCATTTTATTTCTGTACGTCTGTCTTAATTATTTGTGCAAGAATAGAGACACATAAGTAATATAGCAACAGCCTTCTATTACTAGTAACTGAAATTATCTGCCAATTATTTTCATTTCATCTAAAATAAATTTATTTTCAAGCAGAGGCTTAGTAGGAATGGTATTAATGCTACAGCATTTAGAAAGCATTTTCAGCGGAATAATCAATGTAAATTTAGAGGTTCTATTCCCTAGCATAGGAAAAGGAAATCCATTATACTTCTAAACAGCCAATTATGGACAATATTATTAGGTCACATGCAAAGTATACATCCATGCATGGTCATTTTTCGTCAGTTATCACTATCATCTTGTCGTCTTTAAACCTGATCATGCCATTCATCAGATATCTATTTTTTATGATTTTTTAAAAATCTTCTGGAGAACAGAAGGAAATACTGACATAAACAACCACATTTGAATTGGATGTCCTCTTTTTCATGCCTTCATGTTTAATATCCTAGATCAGAGGTAGGCAACCTTGGCTCTTTTATAACTCGTGGACTTCAACTCCCAGAATTCCTGAGCCAGCATGGCTCAGCTTAGAAACCTCGCCTTTTCCCCTCAGCGTGGCTGGCTCGGAAATTCTGGGAGTTGAAGTCCACAAATCATAAAAGAGCCAAGGTTGCCTACCCCTGTCCTAGTTTATAGTTTTGTCTTTATCATTCACAAGTTGACAATGGATGAGTATAAAGAATCTAGGTTCTTATAACTGTGCTCTTCATTTTCATTAATGTTTTTTTCTACTTTTCAACAAGTTAACTATGGAATAAACATTCATTGGCAACAATTTTTCCTTACTGTATCTCCATGAAAGAAAGCAAGGGTTTCAGAACATGAACAGAAATAGTTGATGGAGAAAGACAATCAGGAAATTTAATTTTGTTTTCTGCTATCTAAGGATGAGTGAATAGGATTATGAATAAAATTCAGTAGTGAGGGAAAGCCTGAAATTAGCAACTTTATTATCTTTACTAAAGCAGCAACAGCAAAATCTTTTCAGAATGTTTTCATTACTTTAATAATTGTCCAAGCATTTTCATAACTTTTGATCATTCCAAAAATGAAATTAAATAGGAACATGAAGTCAATTTTCAAGAGATACATTTGCTTTGCTTTTCGGTCTGTTAAATGTATAGAAGAGACACTTCATTCACTTTCTCACATCAGAAACACATATGTAGACTGGAATGCACAATTTTAAAAAAAGACATTTTTTAAAAAAAAATAGTGCAAACTAAATATTTCTGCATAGCTACCTGATCTTAATATTAAATACCAATCTTTATTAACAATTGATTCTTTTAAATACAAAATGATAGGAATCCAGTAATTTTCCTTATCTAACAAAAAGAATGTTTGGTTATCAATCACTTTTAATTATATTGCAGAAAAAAGAATCCTGCCACCATTTGTTTCCTTGATATTCATCCATAGTTTTCTTTTAAGGTACAATTCTGAGGTGCAGATTATACTATAGGTAGAAATATTAATTCTTTCATCAACTGCTAGTATGACATGGAGAAAGGAGGGGTTGTTCATAAATATTTAACTTGAACTTGATCATGTTAACTTGATTGCACAGCAACTTACAACTTACAACTTCCAGAAGTTCTCCATTGAGAGAATGTGAATTAACTTCACTAGACTGCATGCTTTATGAAAATTGTTTTTGCAGCCTCTTTCATTTGCTTATTTCTCAAACTGAATATGAATGGGCTCAACAAAGGAGTCAATACTGTATTGATTAGAGAAACAATTTTATTTGTTGATGGATTGCTGCCTGAAGGCCTTACATACATGAAAATGCAACTGCTATACCCAAGACTAACCACAGTTAAGTGGGATGAACAAGTAGAGAATGCCTTTTGTCTTCCGGAGGAAGATGGAATCTGGACAATAACTGTGACTATATAAACATAGGATATAATGGTGCTAATGAAAGACCCTACCACAATCACTGAGGATGAGAAAAAACTTATTAACTCCACAAGATTAGTGTCAGTACAGGCCAGTTTCATCAAGGCTAAGCTATCACAGAAAAAGTGATCAATCTGATTTCTGTCACAGAAAGACAAATTTGTAACTAGGATGGTGGGGAGAATGGTTCCCAAAAAACCTGTTGCATAACAGCTAATAACTAGCCATAGGCAGAACTCATGTCTCATGATCACTGGATATTGCAAAGGATTGCAAATGGCCACATACCGATCATATGACATGACTGCTAAAAGGACAAAATCACTGCTTCCCAGGAAGAAGAAAAAATAGCACTGCGAAAGACACCCTGGGTATGAAATAGATTTGTTGCCCAGCAAAAGACTTAGCAGTACCTTGGGAATAATGGAGGTTGTGATTAGTATTTCTAAGCAAGAAAGATTACCTAAGAAAAAGTACATGGGGATGTGTAGTTGGGGATCATGAATAACCAGGATGATAATCATGATATTTCCAGCTAAAGTAATCATATATGATGCAAGAAGAATGAAGCCAATGAGATGTTCAAGTTGATGTAGTTCAGGAAAATCTAGTAGCTGAAAACTGACAATGAGTGTATGATTCTCCATCATGTTTTGGAAATTCCTGACAAAAATAATAGGAATATGCATTAAATTAGTAATATATTAAAAAGTAAAGAAGACAGAGAAAAACCAATCAAAATGATAGCCACAGATTTTCATTTTGTTGTCAGATTAATATATATATATTGTGGAAAATAATGCCATTATATTTTTGCTATTTATTTTTCATAAAGAATAATATTAAACATTTGGAAAGAGAAGACAATTATGTAAATACATAGAAAGTATATTAAGTTAAAAGAAGTGGAGGAATGCTTGAAAAAAGGCTTAGAATTTATGAGCCACTGAGGCAAGCAAATCACAGTTAAATCCTATAAAAATCTATGATCATAAATTTTTGCTACTGTTGACTCTGGAAAATTAACTTAAAGACATAAGAATTAGTAAGACAGTATAAAGATATGGCTTAGTTAGAAACCAAACCAATATATTAAAAGTTTTGATTCTTCCGTCCCCAAACAAACAAAAAAATGGAGTTAAAAATGTCTACTTTATTCTAACTGAGGTTTGTGGAGAACAAAGAGAAGAGAGGTTATAAGGGTCAAGACACATTGCCATTCAAACCTTCATCTTCTAATAAGATGAAAATGCACAACTTGGAATCAGAGGAACAAACATCCTCCTTGAATATTTGGGTTCAACTTCCAAAATGCTATCAATATTTTTACAGGATTTCTGTACATTGTTCAGAGTGACAGAAAACAGTGGAAAGTATTGCATACTGAATATTTAATAATTTCATTAATCATAATTAATGTATTTGCTTTTTTTCCCTTGGCACTACCTACTTCTTCATCTTGGCCCATCTATATTTGGAAGAATAAGTTCTGGAATAATGGTCAAAGATGCAGTGTGTCTAAAAATTATTGCAAATTATTTTCAAATAATTTCAGGTCTTTAAATATTCCTGCTGCACCACAAAGAAATCAAATCCAACTGTCCAATCTAGCCATCTTTTCCTAATATTGTTTATAGAATCTCCCCAGTCAAGTGAACATTCTATTCAGTATACTTTGTTGAAAAACAGAGGGACATACTGCTTATTGTTGGAAAATATTCTTTATTGGATCAGTAGATTTTTTTCTTCTTCTACAAATCAATGTAACATTAATATTTTAAACTCTCAAATGAGAATGTATCAGAGCCTTTTTGAATTCCTTAAAAGGAAATATATTACTCACATGTATCAGTCTTTCGGTTTCTTAGAACTCCTTTTACTAAGAAAGCAAATTTCCAAGTGATAATCATATGTATAACATTGAAGAATACTATAAAATTTGTATTTCTTCACAAAATGGACAAATTTCTTCATTCAGTTATATGAAATGCTCCATTCAGCTAACTTATTTCTATTAGAACAGGAGTGAACATCCAGGATCACTGGGAGCCTAGGCCTCCCCATAATGTCCACTAGAACAAAATAACAGAATTGGAAGGGACCTTGGAGGTCTTCTTGAATGTTTCAGGGTAACCCTAATAAAATGATTGAACAATGCATTCAGAGTAGATTTTATTTATCGTCTGCAACTAATGTTGCTGTCTTGTTACTTCCAGTTCCATGAGAAGTGAATCATTCTTCCGTTTACATTACCCTAATGATCATTTAGTAAAATGGTACTCTTAGGACAATTCTTTTGGGGATACAATACAATGTGCTTCTTCATTGCTGTTAAAATCTAAAAGTCAATGAGTGTGATAATCTATAGGATTCTAGACTTAATCCTTTCTGTTGTATTAATGGTAATTTACCTAAAATATTTATTATTTTTCTTTCATAACATAACTTATTACATCTTCCCACTAATCATAATCAAGGCATCTAACAAGGAGTAGCACATAATATATATGCAATATGTAAATTATAGGAGAAAGTAGATAATTTTGACTGATCCTGAAAAACAGATCAGACCTGATTAATATTCGATGGATCTATAGCTATATCACCTAGGTCTAGCACCAGCAGATCTGTATCATCTCTAACTCTATCATACATAAAAACAACAATAACAAATCAATTCTCTTTCATTGCCTACTATACATGAGGATATCATTGTAATTATCAGGAAGTGAGCTCAGCTCAAAGAAGTTTTTTTTTTTTTTTTCTTGGAAGAGAAGATCCTAATTCTAATACTGCATTGCCATACTGAATTAACATTAAATAGCTAAAGTTGAAATCAGAATTGTTAATAGCTTTAAAAAGTGAACAAAGAAGTAGGTGGCAGGCTTCCTGGAAATAGGAAGATCAAACATAAGGAAAATAAATGCATCGATAAATAAATATATATTAGAATTTTCTATTTTTTAAATTATATTTGAATACATTCATCGGAGCTTGACATACATTCCAATTAATGAACATCAGATTACATCTAGTTTCCTAATATTTCTATATGAAAAAAATGCATCCAAATATTAATTATTGTTATAATTAATATTTCCATAAATACCAGTTTTTAAACCAATTCTTATAGAACCTATCATTCTTAGGAGATTCAGAAGGTATCTCCTTCAGCAATGCTTTACTTTTGTTTTGTTTTTTTGTTTACTTATTTTTTCATGTTCTGTGTAATAATAGGAATATTCAGTTATCTAAAATTTTATATTTTATATTAAATAGGTGGCAAGCTTGATTAATTCATAGATTTTGTTTCATGTACCATTTAAATCTTTACATGTGTATGCTTCTTATAATCACAAAACCAAGTAATTTACTTGCTCATGTGTTTATATATGTTTACAAATTTGTATACAGATAGGTCACAATTAGTGCAAGTTTGAATAATGCATTATTTGAATAAGTGCAAATTATAAACTGATACCAGGTCATGTTTTTTTTTAAACAATTTTTATTAGTTTTCCATTTTCCCCCCACAAGGCTTAAGAACCAATGTGGAGATAGGGTTATCAATTAAAAACAATAACATTATAAATATACAGCTCACACAATATTCCTTGAAATTCCCCTCTCTCTCTATTTAGGATATTATAATCAAATTAATACATTTCTAAAAACAAATTCATATATATAAATTCCGTTAATGAATAAAAAATATTCAACAACTCATTATCTATCCCATAGAATCCTATTTTACATTTTATTAGTTTTTCAAATGTTAAACTTAAACTAACTCTCTCTATTTAAAGTATTATATTCAAATTAATACATTTCTAAAACAAATTCATTCATTAATATATCACTACATATAGATTCCATTAATCAATAAAAAAATTTCAACAGCTTATTATCTATCCCATAAGATCCTGTTTTACGCTTTATTAATTTTTCAAACATTTAAACTTAAACTAATACATTTATATACTATTCAGGTATCCCAAGTTTCTCTTATTTAAACATATTATTTCCATAACTAAATTCTTACATCTCTCAACTATATTCTATTCTTATTCAATAATTTTCCAATTATTAATTTCATCTCTTCCATTATTTCAATCTTTTCCTAATTATACCACCCCTAATATTAAAAACACATAAAAAAAATACTAAGGAAGAAAAAGAAAAAACAATACGAAGGAAAAAGAGTATAGATAAACCAAGGAGGAAAGAAAGAAAAGAAAAGAAAAGCAAAAAAGGGAGAGAGAAACAAAAAATAATCTATCATTCAAAAAAACATATTTTTACTATATTTCAATATTAAATTTTAAATCTTTTCATAATGCAGATCATGTTTAATGTGACCCGAAATTTAATTAATGTGAAGCCAGCACACAAGCAATTGAAGCTTTAGATGTTGCTAATTTGTGTGTTTAAAAAATGGAAAAAAGATTACAGGAAAACAGTGTATATTTTTATTTGTTTTTATTTTGCTTTCTATAATAATACAATGTTTACTGTACATTTAAATTAGTCAATTTTCTATCCTTTGCTATATTTCATTAATATAAAACAAAAAATATGTTCAATATTTTTTCTTACCTATTTCCATTGAAGTACAACCAACTACCCTATTTTCTATAGAAATATAGCTATGCATAGTGCACATTTAAATAATGTAAATATTTAGTTGGATTCATTGGCTACACTAGTCCAGACCTACTTGTATTTTACTTTTTTCAGAACTTTCCAAAGAAAAACTGAAGCTTTCTGACTAGCATACAGGTAAATTAAAAATGTAAAATATGAAGCCATGATATAATAAAAAGCATAAATCATCACAAAAATAATTATTAAGATTTCAGAAATATATTTAAAATCGCCATTTTTTAGTTATTCCAAACATGGACTAAAGAATGGAATCTCATATCCATAAATATGTTAAAACAGTATCAACAGATCTAAGATTAAAGTTAGTTCATCCAACATTTACATTTATAACTGTAAAGGTGAGAAGGGAAGAGACGTGCTTTTCAGTTTGCAAGATTGATGCCAGCCTTGCAAGATAGCCTAGTCCAGAAGCATTAATAATCTTGCAAGTCTCAAAATACAAGGAACTAGGGAAGGTTGTTTGCCATGTCCACATTACTTCTACTACTTGTTTGACCATTATCTAGTGTGCAGCTCTTCCTCTGTCTTCCAAGGCTATTCATACATACCATTACAATGCCACAACTTTGAAATTTGAATATTTATCAGGAATTATGATTGTATTGAACATGGTGGGGTATCTAAAGGATTGATACTGAGAAACTGAAAATATAATATTATTCCAGATATCAAAGAATGGCTGTAAGAAATCTGTGATCGAACTGTTTTGGAAAAGGCAATGTTTTCTGCCAACCAAAGGCTGCAGCAAATAATATCAGCATGATAGAGATTTTCTGATATTTTATAATAATATTCCATACTATTCATATTACTTCACATATAGATCCCCACACATTACAGTGGCATAACTACATACTAGTTTTATAACATAGGAGGTAAGGAGGAAAGATGATTGTTGTTGTTTTAACAAATTAGCAAAAAGTCTTCCTTGAGAGGGAGTTAGTAACATTCTATTTATCCCAAAACAAGAAAAATGGTGGAATATACATCAAATCTACAGTCAGTCATTGGCTTTTGAATTTATTTACAGCACTATTAAATATTTTTTTCTTGGTGTACATCATAACATCATGATGAATGAAATGAACTCCAAGCATCCTTTGTAAACACTTTCTTCTACTGAAATGAATATCAATTTAACTGTTTTAATCTGATTAATGTGTTTTATTTTTCTTATTGTTATATGTTCAGTTTTTATGCTAGGGCTTAAAACATAATAATAAATGTCACTAAAATTAAAAGATTATTTTTTTACATGAATTTTAAGCTGGGTTACCCACATAATTTAACTTGAATAAATACTATCTCTGCTTACTTTTTAATTTGTTATGAAAATATCTTGGAGGAAGATATCTATCTATCTATCTATCTATCTATCTATCTATCTATTTCTATCATATCTATCTATCTATCTATCTATCTATCTATCTATCTATCTATCTATTATCTATCTATCCATCTATCCAAGACAGTAAAATATAAAACAATTTATTTGTAAAGTACAAAAAAAAGGGTAAAGAGCAATATTATATTTATTTTTATTATGTGATTTTTATGATTACTTTACCTCTGCAAGTATTCCTTTGTCTCTAGTTAGGGAAAAAAATATAATTATATATTCTGTATTAACTAGATTTCCTCCGAGGTTATATTTTACAAATGATGGAAAGCTTCATTGTTGGTAAGCTCTCTAGATGTAGATTTTGTGCACAAACATATAAAGAAAAGAAAAAAAAAGTCAGCAAATGAGTAAAATTTTGAATGTTTGGATTCAGTACCATCATTAAGCAATGTGTTGATACAATATAACACACAAAGGAGTAATAGCCTTTCTCAAGTTGCAGAGCTCATTTGATGGTTTGGTCTCAACACCATTTCTCACAAAGCTGTAAGTCTGTTATACATATAAAAGAGAAGAGTATGTTTTCACAATTTATAACTAATAGGGAAAGCATAAAGATTTTTCACTCTAAATGTTTTGTCATATGAGTGAGCTTTTTAATAAAGTCCCTAAAAACCTCTTGGACTTTCTGATTTCTAAAAGTGAATATGATGGGGTTTAGCAGAGGCGTTATAGCAGTAGTGATCAAAGAGGCAATTTTGTTGAGATTCATAGAGCTAGTTTGAGAAGGTCTGATATAAATGAAGATTGAGGTGCCATAGCCAATTGAAACAACTGTAAAATGAGAAGCACAAGTTGAAAAGGCCTTTTGCCTTCCTGTGGCAGAAGGAATTTGCAGGATAGTACTTAGAATGTAAATATAAGAGATCAATGTCAGTAAAAGGGAACCCAGAATAATAGGAAGTGAGACAAGGAAATCAATAAACTCCAGCAGGCGAATGTCAGCACAAGCTAAGTGAAGCAAAGGGGCACTGTCACAGAAAAAGTGATTGATCACATTGGGCCCACAATAGGGCAAACCCAGTTTCATCACAGTGGGAGTAAGAATGGAAAAGAAGCCACTCATCCAGGAAGCCAATACCAGAGAAATACAGACCTTCTCATTCATCATGGTAGTATAATGAAGGGGGTAACATATGGCTACATACCGATCATAAGACATCATTGCCAATAGGACATATTCAGAAGTACCAAACAGAAAATAGAAGTATGACTGAATTAAACATCCAGAGAAGGAAATATTCTTCCGCTCCAATAAGAGGTTTTGCAACATCTTTGGAACCACCGTTAGGGTTATCAGGATTTCAATTATGGACAAGTTATACAGGAAGAAATACATTGGTGACTGGAGGCGGTAATCTGATGATATCAGAATTATAATTAGCATGTTCCCAATCATTGTTGCCACCAAAAGGAGGAAAAACAACAGGAAAAGGAGAATCTCTATCTCCCAAGAATTGGGGAACCCAATTAAGATGAATTCTGTTATACTTGTTGTATTTCCTCTTTCTATGTGTCTTCCTTCTAAATCTTTCCTCATGGCCACCTAGAACAATAGGAAGCATAATTGAAGTTGAAGCTGGAAAAGGTTTTCTTGAAATTGTTACTTACAGTTTATTTCTCAATCTATTATATGCTTATCTTAATATTTTATAATATTATAAAAACAATTATACACTCTGAGAAGAAATTCATTTAGTTTTTAAATATGTTTAGCTATATATATGAATCCATAGAGACCAATTGATCAAGATAATTTGGATTCAATACCAATTTCAACAATTGTGATTAATCTAAGATCCCAAGTATTAAATAACTTACCTGGATTAGAATCAAATACTCTCTGATACCTACCTATTATAAGAGCAGCATAGTAACATTATCATAGGCTTGAATAATAAAAATCTATAGAAAATCATCATTAGCAAATAAAGATTCACTCTTAAAATACATGACCTGACTTCCTGAAAATATGAATATTTTTAACATGATTTTGCCCTTCCCATTTTCAATACTTTGAGATTTCTTTTGTCAGAAATTATAGATCCTTTTCCTGGAGTAAGCACAATACTTTCTTCAAAATAATCAAGAAAGATTCTGAAAATGGAACTGCAAGCATTCTGTTGAAAGTTAAACCCATTTTCACAGCAAGTTTGTAAGAATACTCTAAGAAAAGATTCAATATGAGTTTCAGAGATTCCTTAAATAGCCTTTATATTTTAGAGCTCTGCTGAGAAGATTCTCTTTATAAACTCTGGTATACCACAAAAGTAAGAAAACGGCAGATTAATTCCACATGGAAAATTTCTCCCCTTTTTCATTATTAGAGCAATACAGAGCAACAAAAAAAAAATATTTTTATCAGTGTATTCCCATGTGGTCCATTATAGGTAGAGATGTTTTCTATTTTCTACTTCTTTTTTCTTTCTTTTTTTCTTTCTTCACACACACACACACACACACACACACACACATAAATAGCTCGGTATTTATTAATTTTTTCCAGTTTGGATTTTTCCTGGTGGTCGAGATTCATTTATTTTATGACATGGATATACCCAGGAATTGTGTTTTCACTGACATTATTAAATATATATATACACACATATATATATATATCTTTGGTTATTCGGGTTTTCTCTCGCATAAAATTGGAAGTATCTTGGCGACGTTTCAATGAAGTCCCATTTGTCATCTTTAGGCTGGTGTTTTCAGCTTGTGCTTCGAGGAGCAATGTGTGGTCTTAGCTGTTTCTTCTTCTAAGACCACACATTGGTCCTTGAAGCATGAAGCTGAAAACACCAGTCTGAAGATGACGAATGGGATTTCGTCGAAACTTCGCCAAGACACTTCCAATTTTACGTGGGAGAAAACCCGAATAACCAAAGACCTACATACAAACTCCCACGAAGACCTCAGAAAATATATATATATATATATATATATATATATATATATATATATATATATATATATATATATATCTTGTCTTTATTGTTTTCATAAATAATTCAAAGCAAAAAATATACCTAATATTCCTTCCTCCTATTTTCCCCACAACAACAACTCTGTGTGGCTTGGGCTGAGAAAGAGTGACTGGCCCAAATTCTTTCAGTTGGTTTTCATGCCTAATATAGGACTAGAACTCACAGTTTTGTGGTTTCTTGGGTTTTTGATTCCAAGGTTATTTTTTTAAGCTAGCTTCTAAAAGCTACCATGTATTTGTAGCATACTTAAGCTGATTTTGATATTTTCTGAAGATTAAGAGTAAGAACCTAGAAGTAGGCATGCTTTATTTTCCCTAACAACTCTCATTTAAGGCAATCATGATTACAACTGATACATCAGGCTGAACCTGCATAGTCCATCATTTTGGAATTTCTCCTCCCCTTAATCTTATATCAGATGGTTCCCTTTTTTATTAACACTTCAAACTTAATCATTAAGTCCTCTGGACTAGTATTTTTCTTACTGATCTCATATTTGATTGACTTGGCTGCTTTTAGCTTGGACCAACATGGTGCTGATTTCAATTGGGTGGTGCTTGTTCAGAATGGTTGACACCTATTTAGTTCAACTTGTTCTGGCTTGGATAGAGTATCTTTAAACACTTGGTTGATTATCTTTCTCTGGTTTTAATTATCCTGGCCCTGGCTAGAATAAATTGGCTTATTGCTTAACCTTTGCCATTCCTTAGCAAAGCCTTGCAATGTTCCTTGCTGGGATTCTGCTGGCTGCTTAGCTTTTTTTACATCACACTTACTGAACATACTGAGTGGGTTTGCTAGCTAGGTCCTCTCTTTTTTTCTGCTCTCTCTCTGCTGGTCACCTTGTCAGCCAAATACTTTGCCCCATCTGGAATCTTGTTAATAGCCAACATGCTGGGTAAAGCTATTTGACTACTGCTAGTGGTCCTGAGTTTCTCGGAGCTGGCTGATCCACCAAGCAATTCTTCTTTATATTACTTCATATCACATTATCACTTCATATGCCAGATCATATAATTTTGGGAGGGATATAAGAACACACTATTAGATATGTGATATAATGGCCTTTTTCCTCATCATAAGTTTAGACTTAAAGAATTTGCAGAATGATTAATTTCATTGAAATATTTGCTTCAATGTATAACTTATACATTGAACAAAAGCCTTCACAGAGACATCTGAAAAGCATAAAAGTTCATTAGCAGCAAAACTTTTTTTATTGAAAAGTTTTATACAAATTTTCCATTTTATTACAATACAATATCCCTCCCTCCGTCCCCCCCTAACCCTAGCCCCCCCTCACTTCCCAAAGCTGATTACAGGGTTACAAATAAGCAAACAAATTCTAACTAAGCTTATCCAACTATACCAATAACCAAATCCATAAAATACTTTAACCCAAATACAAGAAATTTTCAAAAAAAGAAAGAAAATTAAAAACAAAAATAACAATATAAACAATTCCCACTTTAAACTATAAGTTATTCAAAAACTAAAAGGGGTGTTGTCTTACCTGAATGCCTTTTCTCAGCATAATGATGGAGAATCCATGGATGGGTTGTCTTAATATATCTGATCCAATTAGACTAAGTCTGAATCTTAGTACCGCACCCGCTGTGCCAATTGCACCCCAATTTTAGGCTTAGGCGATACTCAGACTTTAGTCTGACGCGTCTGAACAATATGGGAACCAGGCCAACTGACTTAATGGGAGGGAGTGGATTCTCCATCATCATGCTGAGAAAAGGCGTTCAGGTAAGACAACGCCCCTTTCTCCAGCATGATTGGATGGAGAACCCACGGATGGGACATACCAAGCCCTGTGTCCCTAAGGGTGGGAATTAGTTTGGGCCTGGGTCCCGTCCGATGTTAATGTGTGTTCTAGTACCTTGCGGCCAAATGAAGCCAGAGAAGAGGCATATATATTTATATATATATCCATCTTGTAGTGATGGACAAAGGAAGAGGGCGATGCCCATGTTGCTGCTCTACAAATTTCCTCTATGGAGGCCTGGGTAGTCCAGGCAGCTGTAGTAGCTGCGCCTCAGGTGGAATGGGCCGTAATATGCCTAGGAGCTTGCAGTGACTGAGTCTGGTATGCCAGAGAAATACAAGCTCTAATCCACCTGCCTATTGTGGTTGAAGAAACCTTTTGTCCTAGTGACAAAGGGTGAAAGGACACAAACAGAACCTCTGTTTTGCGGAAGGATGAGGTTCTCTGTATATAACAATATAAACCCCTGTGCACATCCAATTTGTTCCACTGAACCTCTATGTCATTAGATGGGTTAGGACAGAAGTCTGGCAAAACTATTTCCTGAGATCTATGATACAAGGAATTAACTTTGGGCACGAAGGAGGGGTCTAGCCTAAGGGTTACCGTGTCATTATTGAAAGTACACAGGTCCTTTCTCACTGAAAGAGCAACCAGTTCAGAAATTTTTCTGGCCGAAGTTACAGCAACAAGAAAAGCCACCTTCATCGATAATTATTTAAACAAACAAGTGTCAATAGGCTCAAAAGGTGGAGAAACAAGAGCCTGTAAGACCTGATGAAGATCCCGCGAGGGATATCTATATACAGTTGGTGGTCTAGCGTTGTTAGTTCCCTTTAGGAAGGAGCATATCATGGGGTGATGTGTTAAGGATTCATTGCCACAAGTAATAACTGTGGCAAGTGCTGCTACCTGCCTATGAATGGTGCTCGTTGAAAGACCTTTGTCCAGACCATCCACCAGGAACTCCAAGATAACTGGCACTGAAATGGTCAAAAGGTCAATTTTGTGATCTGAACACCAATTACAGAAACTTTTCCACGTGGCATCGTATATTCTATTCGTCGAGGTTCACCTGGATTGCTGAATCATGGCTATGACCCTTGATGAATATGAGTCTCAGCCTAAGGCCTGCCTCTCAAGTGCCAGAAGGTTAACTGGAGCCATTGAAGGTCCGGATAGTGTAGTTCCCCCTGAATGAGGGAGATGCGATTTGCTGGAATCCTCCATGGAGGGGATGCGGAGAGCTCCATCAGGTCGGTGAACCATGAATGTCTCAGCCAATGTGGTGCAACCAGGAGGACCTCTGCCCGTTTGTGAAGAATCTTCCTGATCGTGGTGGGAAGAAGTGGTAAGGGAGGGAAGGCATAGAACAGTTCCCTGGGCCAGGGACTGTGGAGTGCATCTGTTCCCTCCGCTGATGGAGACGGGAACCTGGAAAGGAATCTGGGAAGTTGTGAGTTGGTTGGGGAGGCAAAAAGGTCTAAGGTTGGGGAACCAAACCTGTCCACGATCTCTCTGAACATCTTCGGATCCAGCTGCCATTCGGTATGGTCCACGGTGGCTCTGCTCAGTGAATCCGCCTGTCAATTGGTCACTCCAGATATGTGCTCCGCCCTGATGGAAGCAAGATTCAATTCCGCCCAAGACCCCAGCAATTTGTCCTCTTGCATGAGAGGCCTAGACCTTGTCCCCCCTTGTCTGTGGCCATGGGCCTTGGCTGTAATGTTGTCGGTTAGAATCAGGACATGTTGGCCCTTTACTATGTCGCTGAATCTCTTTAGGTCCATGTGTATGGCTCTGAGTTCCAGCCAGTTTATAATGTTCTTTAGATCCTGCTTGGACCACTGACCTTGAGCCCAGTGTGTCTGGAGGTGTGCCCCCCACCCAAACAGGCTTGGATCTGTGGTGATGATAATCCTGTCTGGTTCTTTGAATTCTGCTCCCTGTGACAGTGCCGGAGAGTCCCACCCTCGAAGGGAGTTCAACACCGACTGTGGAACTCGGACCTTCTGATGGGATGTGCTGGTGTGAAGTCTCTGAAATGGAAGGAGAAGCCACTGTAATTCTCTGGCATGGAGACGTGCCCATGGAACAATTTGCATGCAGGACACCATCTTCCCCAATAGCTGTGATAACGAGGCCAATGTTACTACTCTGTCCTTTCGGATCCGACGTACAAGGGTCTGAATAGAGTTCCGTCAGTCCTGTGATAGGTAGACCGTACAATTGTCTGTGTCTATAATAGCGCCCAAATGGAGGAGCCGAGTTGTCAGTACGGTATGACTTTTCTGGAAATTAACAGAAAACCCGTGCTCCTGAAAGATCTTGATGGCTAGGGCGAGGTCTGATTGAGCATTTTGGAATGATGATGACTGAATCAATATGTCATCTAAATAGCATTGAACTCTAATTGGAATTTGTCTAAGGTGGGCTGCGAGCACTGCCAGTACCTTTGTAAATACTCTCAGTGC